AAGGGAAGATCTAACGGATGGGGAATCTGCTCTAGCTCCTCCTTCCCTTTGATTTCTTGCTCCCCCACTACTCCTGCTTCCGGGGCTGGTCCACTTCAGCTCTCAGCCATTCTGGAGGCACTTTTCACCTCTGCTCCAGGAGCCTCTTCTGTGTGTTTTGGGTCATGACTTCCTCCACTCACTTTTATTCCTCAATAAGCTATTCTTAGCATTTGTTTTCTAGAGACTTGTCAAAAATCCATTGCACTGACTCTAGTCCAGCCCACACCTTGTTTCCTCAATACCAATTCTCAGAGAGATTAGGTTTTCCTTTTATTCTGCTTTCCTGTCATTTCTGAAGAAGCTATAGGAAGAAAGGAGTAGAAACATTTGGGTTCAGTCAGTCATCTTGGACTGGAAACCTCTGCCCCAGATGTTTTAAACATTCCAAAAATATTTTATGATTATGTAGTCTAATAGTATCTGTAATAAGGATTTCTTTCTTTGCTTTATGCTCAGATTGTTTTTTGTTTTGTTTTGTTTTTCTCTTTCCAGAGATCATTTAAAGTTCAACACTTTTTTGGCTGTATTTAAAAAAAAATTAACACTATTCTGATTTGCTTTGGGGAAAGTTTAAGGTAAAAAATTCAGAGGTTTTTGTTTCTCAGATACAAAGCTAGATTTTAACACTCATTTCAAAGAAGTTATTCCTCCCTCATCTACCTGTGCTCCCTTCATCTCATGTTATGTTCCTGTTTATTCAAGGAATTGTTGTAGGCTACCTACTCTTATCCATTTATCTGAAGTAGGGTTCTTAGGCTAAATCCATAGGGTTTTAATTATTTTTAAAAAATATGCTTTAATATTTACCTTGCTGTCCCACCACTTTGCAGTTTCTTTTCTTAAAGTGTATTCCCTCTTCTTGCATATTCTAATAAGTGAACATGGATAGAATTTGGTCAAATTCCAAATAAAACAAAACCAATTATCTAGTAGGATGTCATGGGGAAATTTGTTAAGTCTATTTAAAATATGGAAAGAATTGACTTTTTTCAAATACCATCTTTCACTAAAATAATAGAGTATTTCTGGGGCACCTGGGTGGTTCAGTTGGTTAAGCGACTGCCTTCAGCTCAGGTCAGGATCCCAGGGTCCTGGGATCGAGCCTCACATCGGACTCTCTGCTCAGCGGGGAGCATGATTCTCCCTCTCCCACTCTCCTGCTTGTGTTCCCTCTCTCTCTCTGTTTCTCTCTCTCTGTCAAATAAATAAATAAAATCTTTAAAAAGGAATAATAGAGTATTTCTCTACACTTAGTATTATTTCTATGTATATGTCTTTAGGGAAAGCCTTGCCATGCTTAGTATAGTAAACAATCATCCTGTTTAGCCCATTTTAAAGGTATTTTATGTACTTTTTTGTTATTGTAAATGAGGTCCTTTATCACGTGTTATTAAAAACAATACTTACTCTTTTTATTAAGAGTAACACATGCCCATTGTAGAAAATGTGAAATTAAAATCCCTTCTAATTTACACTACTATATTCATATTATAAGTAACAGGCATTTCACTTAGTAATATGCACTTAAGTTTCTTCCCTTTTTTTTTTTTTTAAGATTTTATTTATTTGACACAGAGAGAGAAATCACAAGTAGGCAGAGAGGCAGGCAGAGAGAGAGAGGGGAGGAAGCAGGCTCCCTGCGGAGCAGAGAGCCCGATGCGGGGCTTGATCCCAGGACCCTGGGATAATGACCTGAGCCGAAGGCAGAGGCTTTAACCCACTGAGCCACCCAGGCGCCCCTCTTCCCTGTCTTTTAGTGGATTTGATAGTTCATTTTCTTTTTAGCACTAATATTCCATTCCAGTTAATCTACCCATTTACCTCCTGGAGGACATGTTGGTTGCTTCTAAGTTTTGGCAATTATGAATAAAGCTGCTGTGCACATTCATGTACAGGTTTTTGTGTGCACAGAAGTTTCAGCTCTTGGGTAAATACCAAGGAGCACAATTGCTGGATCATATGTTAAGAGTATATTTAGTTTTGTAAGAAACCACCAACCTGTCTTCCAAAGTGGCTGTACCATTTTACATTCTCACCAGCAACGAATGAGAGTTCCTATTGCTCCGTATTCTCTCTAGCGTTTGACATTGTCAGTGTTCTGGATTTTGGTCGTTCTGACAGGTGTGTAGTGGTCTCTCGTAAAGGTTTTAATTTGCATTTCCCTCATGACACATGATGTGGAGCATCTTCTCATTTGCTCATTTGCCATCTGTATATTTTCTTTATGAGTTGTCTATTAAGTCTGGCCATTTTTAAAATCAGCTTGGTTACTTTCTTATTGTTTAATTTTAAGAGTTCTTTGTATATTTTGGATGACAGTCCTTTAGCAGATGTGTCTTTTCTAAATATTTTCTCCCAGTCTGCAACTTGTCTTCTCATTCTCTTAACATTATCTTTCTCAGAGCAGAAGTTTTTAATATTCATGAACTCTAGCTTGCCAGTACACACACTCTGATAAGTCTGGACTAGCAAGAACCTCACCATTTGTTGGTAGTTGTGTTAGTTATTCTGTTTTCCACCACAGTGGTGTTTGTGTGATTAAAGTGCTGTTGTAGTCCTTCATAATTAATTTTGAATTGAACAGCAAAATAACACACTTGTACAAATGATGCTTCTTTGTTGGTAATTACTATTTTTTCATGAAGACCTAGTAGACATTCTTTTAGAAGATATTTTGTCACACAGATATTGGTATGTTTGTATAGTTTCTTTTAGAATCCATATATATAGAATATATGCACTTTTTCTAACCTTACATTAGTACTGTATAGCTACTAGTACTAAATTAATTTAGCCACATGTTAAAATGTAAAATTCATTTCCTCGATCACACTAACTACACTTCAGCTGCTCAATGCTGGATAGTGGGGATCTAGAACATTTTCATATTTGCAGAAAGCTCTGTTGAACAATGGTGTTCTTGAACATAAGCAGTTGTGCATTAAAAAAAAAATTCCTGTAAATTTTTTTACTTCGTAGTAATTACTGAAATAAAATATTAAAATGAAAAAGGAAGAATAGAATAAAAAGCTCAGTGAAGGGATTTGTTTCCCTACTGTTATTTTTGGTTTTGTGTCTTAGTCATTTATGATAGATAAAGCAATGGTTTTAACTGTAGCTGAATGAACTGTGTGTTCACTGCTCAGCCAGATGCAAAACCTAGTGGGAGGAGCAGTTCAACGGACTGGTCCATCAACCGGTCTGTCTTTGTGGACATGCAAACAGTGACAGGTAGTATTAATCACAGCCCCAGACTCTAGCTTCTGCAATAACCATGTTTGCATAAATCTCATTCCTAGAATTAAGAACATGTCTGCCGAGAATCCCTGATTTTTAATTCCTTGGAATTGGAAGGCTGCACCAGAGACACAATAGAGACACAGTACAATAGAATAAAGGCCCAGAAAATTTCCTCCAAGAATGGCTATTTTTTCTTTATTGATCTTGTAATTATTGAATAAACTTACTTGATTGTTATAGGAATAGTGTTTTCTCCAAATTTATTTTTTTAAAGCCCTCATTTAATTCAGGCAACATTTAACATAGGCTATTATATGCTTATAATGTGCTTTACTTCTGTTTATTCTTAGTGGTATAGTGTCAGCTCATCTAGAAATAGTTTGAAAATTTCTTTGGAGTGAGACAGGTAAAAGGCACCTGGAAATAGAACACATTTCGTGGTTTAATCTTGATATTGGAAGAATCTGTCATTTGTCTGCTATTGAATTCCTTTTTTGTTTTTTTAAGTTTGCTTGCAGTGTTTGAATGTTGAGAAGGTATAGTTGCTAAAGCTGCATTTAGATGGTGGGAATTTGTATGAGGAGGGTGGTTAATACGTGATAATGAGTAGCAAGGGATACTGGTTTGGGGATGTGCATATAAATCTATTTTAGCTGTTTCTTCGAGTAAAAAGATCCAGTTTGCATGGGTAACTGTTGTTTAGATCTTCGCTGTTCTTGGAGGCTGATTTAGAGCGTAAGTAAAAACTATCCTGAGTTAGGTAGAGGGAGGTGGCACACTCTAGAGGCCCATAGGTAGGACATGTATTTCTAAAAAATGACAGGGGATAACTAACTATTGTACCTACTCTACTACCATGGAAGGGTAGGAAAAGTGATAGGTGTCATCATCTGTCTTGCCCTCTGCACCTGAGTTACAGATACAACACAAAGGAAGTGTGGTCTGGGACATAATTCATTCATCATCACTTCTTCCATAAGCATTTACAGAGATCCGGTTAAGTGTCTTGAATTTTTCTATTGAAAGTTTTTCATTTAATGCCCTGAAATGAATTGGCAAATTGATAGAGGTTACGTAAATAGAGACTGCCAGGGTACATAAGCATATTTAGGTAAAGGGGAAATTCACATTAAAGATCATTTTTCCTGTAGAAAAATGTCTTTTCTATAGAACTCTTACTTGAAAGGACTATTTTTTCAAACATAATCTTCCTTTGGTATGCTTTGGTGGTAATTGGGAATGTAACTGTGATAAAATGATTTAAAAAGAGATATACATGCTAATGTACCCAGATATCAAAAATCTTGGCTCTTCTTCTGGAATTAACATTGACGTTCAATTAAAAGATAAACAGATGTTTCATAGATGGGGGATTATTCAAAGAAGAGAGATCTTTGGACATTCAATTTTAAGAAGTTTTTTTTTCAGATTTTCAAAACTAGTTTTCAAAAAACAATCTTGTTCTCTGTTGTTGCTGCAGTGGTGTGCTCAGGAATGGATACACTTGAAATATATTTTGGTTTCTGCCAGCTTTACTGTCAGTTCTCTACTTTAAAAATTATCTTTCAGAAACAGGTAATTAGAACAAAATCAGGATGCTTTTACACAGAGGAAGTATCGAATCACGTGCTACTTTGAAAAAAAAAAGCCTCTCTGATTGTTTTGAATGGTAAGGATTGTACTTTGTTTTAAGTCGTTTTCCGGTTTTCCTTTCAGCGATGAAGTCTTACACTCCGTATTTCATGCTCCTGTGGAGTGCTGTGGGGATAGCGAAGGCTGCCAAAATCATCATCGTGCCGCCAATTATGTTCGAAAGCCATATGTACATTTTCAAGACACTAGCCTCAGCCTTGCATGAGAGAGGCCACCGCACAGTGTTTCTTCTCTCCGAAGGCAGAGACATCGCGCCATCTAATCATTACAGCCTCCAGCGATACCCAGGGATTTTTAACAGTACCACCTCGGATGCTTTCCTGCAGTCCAAAATGCGGAATATCTTCTCTGGGAGATTGACAGCAATCGAACTGTTTGACATACTGGATCACTATACCAAGAACTGTGATATGATGGTTGGCAACCGTGCCCTGATTCAGGGTCTGAGGAAGGAGAAGTTTGATCTGCTGCTGGTGGACCCTAATGACATGTGTGGATTTGTGATAGCTCATCTTTTAGGGGTTAAATATGCTGTATTTTCAACTGGCCTTTGGTACCCTGCAGAAGTGGGTGCTCCCGCCCCATTAGCTTACGTCCCAGAGTTTAACTCACTCCTCACAGACCACATGAACTTGCTGCAAAGGATGAAAAATACCGGCGTTTACCTCATTTCGAGATTAGGGGTCAGCTTTCTGGTTCTTCCCAAATACGAAAGGATAATGCAGAAGTACAACCTGCTGCCGGAGAAGTCCATGTACGACCTGGTCCACGGGTCCAGTCTGTGGATGCTGTGTACAGATGTGGCGCTGGAGTTTCCGAGACCCACTCTCCCTAATGTTGTGTACGTAGGAGGAATCCTCACCAAACCGGCCAGCCCACTACCAGAAGTAAGGTTTGCTGAACTCCTTGGTAATCTTTTCTAAACTGGAAGGTCAATTTGTTAGCTTTGATTTTTGGAGAGATGGGATTGGTTATTGTTGGCTGATAAGTGCTGCTCCCAAAAGCAGCGAAAGTGGTGGCTAGAGCCTCCCGAGGTCCCTTCCCTTGTGGATGCACCATGCCTGTGCAGCACGTTTCTGCTTTAGTGGAGCGTTTCTACGATGCTGAGAGGCCATTCTGCCATATGGTCAATAGACGGGCTGGGAAATAGACTTTTGATTAAGTACTAACTGTAGTATGTGAGGAGAATGAGTTAGATAGTTAGCTTTAATGAGTATAAGTGGTTTTGCTTTTAATTAAACACAGAGTTCACTCTCTTTATTCTCCCCCAGATAGCAGTCTCCAGTCTCCACGTCTAGATCAGGTTCAGTGAAGTCAAACGGAAGCCATGTGAAGAAAGGCCCTTCTTTTAGAAGCCATAAGCACTAGAAAGCTTATGTCCAACAATGAAAAGGAGGCAGTCCCTTCTGTCAGACTCGGGAGCCAACTAATTTTTAGCAAACAGCTGTAACTGTTTTAAAGAAATCCTGCCCCATTGCGATTTCATTTCAAAGATGGAATTGACTGCCCTTTAACAAAACGCTGTGTCCTATCTAAGTCAAACGTAAATTCTTTTTCTGGTTGAGCTGTCAGTGAGTCCCTTGTATTCTCTTCTCCATCCTAGTTTGTTTTGTGTTAGGTAACTCAAACTCGCAGGAGCCAAACTTGCGTATCTGTTGTTCTAGGGTTTTCTGACCTCAGGCTGGCTCTCTGGGTTTAATCTCAACATCTGATGGCATTTACCTGGAAGCAACAAGTTGTTCTGTGATTTTGCTCATTACCGAAACTGTTTCTACTCTTGAAAATCTGAAAAGACACACAACACCTCTGCAAAATCTCTGGTCACTACATACCAAAAAATTTGTCAGGGCCTTGTTGAAGAGCAAATCCAGATTTTTTCATAGAGGCATCAAATAAGGACAGTCACAGGGCAGAATGGAGAATTAATGTGATTGAAATATACAGCCTGTAGATTTTTCTCATCCTTTCGAAGTACATTTAATAAAAAAATACCTTTATATATTATATCACATCACATGAAAAAAATAGAGCTTGCCGGATGTAGGGCTTTTTCCCCCGCCCCCTATCCCCCAGCATTTCAAACTGCTTCAGTTAGCGGAGTCTGGGAGGGCTCTGCTCTCTGACGTCAACTGTAAAGGATAGGAACTCATCTCAGCGTCTCTCAGCCATTCATGAATTTATCCAAGCCCATTTCAAATCCTTAACTGTTCTCTGCCAGAGTCACCATGTGATGTAGTAACTCCCCTTCCTAAAGCAAACAAAAATCAGATTAAGAAGGAACTTCTACTCTAGCTGAGCTTACTCTGAGTCATTCATAATGTTACACAGATCAGTCCCGTTCCCTCCAGGTCTTCCATTTTTTCCTCAACCAGAACCCTGCCCTTCTGCGTTGCTCCTTTTGGTTTCTGTTTGGAGGCTGTCTCCCTTCTTTAGTGCTGGGATTGAAGAAGGAATGGATGATGAAAAGGAACATTCTAACAAATTTTCAGTCCCTGTCCATTTGTCTTGAGTTGCAGTAATTTGACCTACATAGCCTAAGTACAGAATAATACATTTTTTTCTATCCTCTACCCTTCATTAAGATGCATAGTATGTGATAATGCTTTTTTTCCTATAACCCAAGCTTATCTTTTCCTCTGTAGATCCCTCTGCCAATTAGTTTCACTATTTTATTTTACTCTTAAAGCATCTTTTTTTTAAAAAAGATTTTATTTTATTTATTAGAGAGAGAGAGTAAGAGCGAGGATGACAGAGGAGAAGGTAAGAGGGAGAAACAGACTCCCCTCGGAGCTGGGAGCCCGATGTGGGACTCCATTCCAGGACTCCAGGATCATGACCTGAGCGGAAGGCAGTTGCTTGACCAACTGAGCCACCCAGGTGCCCTTAAAGTATCTTTTGAGTGGTTTTGAAGCCTTATGTAAGGTTATTACTCAAAATGTTTTCTGAATTGTGTAATTCTAGTTTGATACTAGCTTGACTTACTTTTTGGGCTCCTTGTTCTTTCCTCCTCTGTGGGCTTTTTGTAATGATTCTCTTGACAATGTGCTTTTTATTTACGGTAACCACTTTGGCTCTGCCGGTGAGGTCACAAACACAGACACATACAAATATGGCATGTGCACGTGTTTGATGTGTAGATCTAGATAAGTCTGTTGTTACCATTGAAAACATCTTAGGTCATAAGTGTGAAGGACCATTTTCATTTCAGTATGCCATTTCCAAAGTTTTTCACCTGGGAATGTTTTGAAAGAAGAGGTGTCCTACCCTTTCAGATACTTTCTACTGTGCTGAGGCTTTATATGCTTAGGAACACATGTGTTCCTACCGGGATTTCTCTAGTAGTTTTGTCTGATACAATAAACTGTACCTCAGCATTATACAAGTTAATGAGTTTCTCAAATACCTGTATTATTTACAGGTCATGGTTGTGACACTAAAATAATAGGGCCTAGCAAGTGATGGTTGAGAACACATGAATCACTAATAACAGCTTAATTGTTAACTGCCTTGGTATCTTACACTGGGAATGGATTAGGTTTTCCAGATGTCTGGAAATGATTTGACAGTGGGATTTCATTTCAAAACCTGGGATGAAAGGGTACAGAAAATTTGTAAAAGGCACTTTTTAGTAGCTTTCATAATGTTTGAGCCCAGAGAAACTCTAGAGAGCATCTAGTTCAGTTCCATTAATTTAGTTTACCCCTCCCCCCCAAATAAATAGTCCATTCATTTGTCACATAGGAGATTCAGAGACTTTGGATGTCTCATCCAAGGCCATTAAGCTAGTTTGTGACATAGCCAAGTAAAATGTGGATTATTTCGCTGTGAATGGATATTTTGTCAAGATGCCTACATCTCTTGTTACTCATACCACTCATTTACACGTTTATAGTGCATACAAAACTGTGCAGAGACAAATATTTTTCAGTTCTTTCTTTGATATCTCAAAGATTATGAGGACTTAATGTGAGAGTCAAATTTTAAATCATGCATATTCCCACTTATGCTTTAGAAATTTAATAATCACAATCACCAGAATCCAAATGCTTTTGATTACCAGGTATTGTCATAAAGCGAAGCAGTTGTGTGCCTTAATAATACAGTCATTTTAAAAATGCGTGTTAGCAGTGTGCCTAACTTATCATACTATTTACTACCTGAGTGCCTAGAGTGTGAGTCCTTAAAATGTGTCAGTGGAGAAGAGGTCTGGGTTGGATCATGTGTACTTCATCATTGAGGGGTGTCAGAGAACATGAATACACATTTCTTTAAAAAAGAACTTTTGCCTCGGCCAGGAAGGAGGTCTGTAAACAGATCCTATTTGACTAGGTCCTTTAAATGTTAAATGTGAATGAAATAATATCTAATAGAGAGCCATTGTAGCTTTTAGCAGTTTTATTAGGGGGGAATAATAACATAACTAAAGAGTAGTACATTTACCTAAGGAGTCTATTAATTTTTAAAATTAATGTGTTTCAGGTGATAATTTTTAAATGATTTCTCATTGACCGAAATGGCATAACCCTGCCAGGCAGCTGATCTCTCCCATTTCCTGCTTCTACAGCCCCAAATTATTTTTGCACTTAATAGATTGTACTTTAACTATCAGTTTTTCACATGGCTCTCTCCCTAACTAGAGTGTGGATGCCTCAAAGGGGATCCTCTACTTATTCATCTTTGTACCCTGAGTATCTGGAAAATGGTAGGAATTCAATGAATGTTTAAGATTAAATGAACTGCATCAAGTAGAAATAGTTGTCCCTCCCCCCCAAAATAGGTTTCAGCTAGTACAGCAATGTTAATATTATGGCCATTATCTGCTTATTTCAAATTTATGTCTACATACCATCCCAGCTACTAAGCAATTAAACATTCCAGGCTAGCTTATTTTAATGAATTAGAATTGCTACATAATATTATTGATATTGACAGAAGGTCATCATACATTACTCAGCTGGTGATCTAAGTGGTCCCTACTGTATTCCGGATGTGCATACACTAGGGTCAGTAGTGTAAATTAGTCTGGCTCTTGCTGTCTTGAAAGATGTTTTGGGGTGATGAGGTACTCATTTGGTAGACCTAACCTCCCAGGTGCTTTGTTGCGGGGCTGGGAGTATAAAGGGCAACTTCATTTCACCCCCGGTGCAGACATTTTTAATTGAAGGAAAATAGTCTTGGGGAGAGAGACAGATAAGACATGAGCATGAGGCCAAGGACGGGGTCATGAAATCCTCACTGTTTCTCATTTTGTTATTGCCACAGCTCCCTCACAGAGAAAGGTTTTAGGGAGAATGAGACATTGAACAGCGGATTCATTAACTTGTGAGCGGATCAGGTTATGAGAAGAATAACACGGGGGAGTGAAACAATGGCTTTCTATGTTCAGTTTTTATTGATTCTCCTGGAAGCCATTATTTACTGTTACATATGGTAGTGGAAAGCGGACTTCCCCAATAATGAATGAAGTGTCTAGGCTGAGAAATGGGACCAGAGTCGTGGGGCTGACAGACTTGATCCAGGATTACAGCAGATGTGGAAAATTAAGGCCATTTTAATATTGTGTAACATACAAATTTTGTTATCGTGAAATGCTAGAGATAGGATTATAACCATTGTAACATATTGATTAAAATGTCAACTTTTAAATAAGTGTCATTTAATCAAAATATATATCTTTCATATCTGGTTCCTTATTTTGAATACCATCACTCACAAAGAACTATGTAAAATGTTTTCATCTATATAGTACTGCTGTGCTGTTGGTAGCTATGTGGGAATCAGAAAATTGATAACTCTAATGTTTGGACGAGACTAATGATTTCATTCCCATTACTAATTCTGAGCTTAAATATTCACTACAACGTGGTAGCTGGGCAGAAATGATTGA